GGGGGCGGGGGCAGGCGGGGGCTCGGGGTGCAGGCCAGCGAGTATCCAAGGCGAGTCCGGGTCGGCCCGGGGCCCGGGGCGAGTGGGAGCGAGCGGGGAGTTGGGGGCGCGGGGCCCGGCGAGTGCGCGGCCCAGGAGGGGGCAGCCAGGTGGCCGGAGCGCGGCGTAAGCTGGCTGTGGGTGTGTGTCCCTTCCCGGCTCCGGGTCACATTTACTCGGGTCCTTTTCTTCAAGATGGAGGGATCCCCGGGCCTGGACTTTTAACGGCTATCCTTGTTAACCCCCCCCCCCCGGGAAGGTTAGTGACCCTGTCCTGTTTGGAAAACCCATGCTGCCCTCCTTTCCCTTTATGTGTAATTACGGTTGGATCATCTCTGTGCTTTGCTCAGATTCTCCTTCCTCCCTCTGGGTTTGAGGAGGAGGAGACACATCTGACCAATTAATGTGTGTTTGTGAAACAGGCAGCAGCAAACAGTCATTTCAGCTTCTAGGAATTAGGCTCACACAGGGTGGAGAGATCAGAGCCCTTCAGGGGGAATATTTCTGAACAAATCACAGATGATTAAATTCTCTAAGAAACAGCTTCCCACCTAAATGAGAGTGGAAAAGACGAGGAGGAAGCCTGTCTGTTTTCAGCAGTGTGTCCAGAGCCCCAGGGGTTGAGGAGAGTCTCTGAGCCCCGGCAGGCCTCTCTTTTCTGTATTAGGCTTTGCTGTGCAGCCTTGAGTTAATTTCACCCCTGCTGCTTTGTCTTGGAGGGAGTGCTGGTTTAGGCTGTTGTGAGGAGATGACTACTCTGCTGCCACACACAATAGTCATGTCTTTTTATCGGGAGTGCTACCCCAGGGCTGAGAACTGCTGCAGCAGAGATAACCGGTCCCTCTCACCCGCCTATTGTGTACACAGTGAAGGTCATAGGTTCAAGTCTCGTCTGAGAGCTTTGGATATGCTCCATCTCCCAGGCTCCTCAGTGCCATTTTCTTCTTTTTCCAAACTGGGGCTTGCCATTGGAGGAGGCCAGACAGAAAGGCTCTTCTTTTTTGAGAGAGGAACAATGCAGAGCTCATTGGCACACATTTTTCAGAAGAATAGGGGTGCCAGCCATGTTGTGCCTGCCTCTTTGGTTAGCCTGTACTAAGTTGTGGAAGTAGCGTCTGGGACGCTGGACTCAGGTGTTTGTGTCAAACCTTTAAGGAAGAAGACTGCAAGGGGAGGTTTCTACTCTTACTTGAACCATCATGTTGAATTTTTTTAAAAAAGAGACACTTAGGCAGTGATTTTTGTTTTTGGTTTAGGGACACCACTAAAAACCTGTGCAGAGTTAAGACAGGGAGCCAAGAACCAACTGCCTTTTTAAATGGTGACTTCTTGCTCAATAACTGCAGAACAAAAAAAGCCACACAATTTACCTATCTAGACAAGCCGTGAAAACAAAACAATTTTTCTTTGTAATCATTTTAATTGTAGTGAAAGGAGATGTCTTGCTCATTGTGTAGGAAGTCCCTTATCTGCCTCAATATGAAGGAGGAATTTGCCAAAGAGACATTAAAAATATCATTTAGGTTTTAGGAATTATTAATGAGAGAAGAATGAGAACAACCGAGAAGGAATCCAAGCCTTGTGTATCTTATAGAAGTGTCCAAATAGTAGTAGGTTACAAAACTATTAGTTTTGTAAGAAATTTTTTGAGGTTAAAAAAGAGGTTTCCATTTAGGGCCTTAAAGAAACTTCTCTAAAAAGTGCTCAGAAATAAAACTCATCATGAGAGGAGAATCGTAAAGAACATACTACACTGTACCCAACCAACTGGGTATTATTGAATAGGAACTTTAGCCTTCGGTTTTGGTAAAGATCTTTCTGAGATAGTCTGTGGTGCCTCTCTTATCCCTTTATTTCATTGAAGTTCTTAAAATGATGGCCTGCCAGTTAGATGGTATTGGGCTTTTGATAGAGAATAGACTGTTCTTACCATTATATATATATTATATATATATATATATATTTTTTTTTTTTGGTACCGGGGATCAAACTTGGGTCCTTGCGCTTGCACAGCAGGCAGCAAAACCACTGAGCTAAATCCCCGGCCCCCCATAATATTTTTTGATAACAGAACTGTTTAAGGCCATATTAGAGCTGTCTAGGTCTCTTGAGTGAAGCCTCAATTGATTCCAACCTTTTTATTTTGGATCTGTCAGCATTTACTTGCCAATGCTGTCAGGTGACAGAGGAGGCAGAAGCCTCAGATTGTTTGCCCTGATTAAGTTTAGTAGTTTCAGAGTTGGGCCCCTGATTGTGACTGTCTTTCAGAGAGCACTTTGACTTTTTCTCCCAACTTCTTGGTAGGAAATATTTCCTTATGAGAGGAGTAGATAGCCAAACAGATTAGCGTTTCTTTTGTATGAGGATATGGAAGCATAATTTTGGCTCCTGGTAATTATGTTGCAATTAACATATAGCAACTAAATGACTGGAACAGGATAATTTGTTGAGGGGTTTACTGATTGCTCTGTCAAGTGGAAATGCCACTCCTTATTTATTTGACCCCCAACACTACTGCCTGAGCTCAGGTATGGAGACCACATACAGGACTGATACTTGTTCTCCAGAACCTCCCACTCTGCCTTCCCTTTCTACTTCTCTGCTAGGTACCTTGGTACTTTCACTGCCACTTTGTCCTTCTCCAAAGGTAGCTGAACAATTGTTATTTCCATTGTGGAAAACTGGCATGGATGGGAACACTGCCAGGCAGATGGAGCTGATCTGAGCTAGGGCAGCCTCGTGTTGTTTGGCAAGTTTTCTTTATGGGAGCTTAATTCTTACTTCTACTTGATTTTTAAGAACCAGTTTTCTTTTAAAAACAAACTGCACAAAATACAAAAATCACATAGTGTATTAACTGTGCTTTATAATACCTCTCTGACAGAGTTGACTGTGACAAACAAAATGAAGATAGGTGATGTTGATTGGCAGGTTCTGGGTCCACCAAGTGTCAGTGAAGGACTCTCTCACTAGAGAACAGGTAATGCACCACAGCACCTGCCTAGCAAGGCATGTGGAGTTGGCAGCAGCTGTGCCGCTGAAGAGGGATTATTGAGCAGGTGGTTGAGGAATCACATGCCACAGTGACAAGAAAATACTTAGTCTTCTGTGCTTTAGGTTCAGTTCAGATGTGTGAAATTGCACTTTGTTTCACATTTCTTAATGCCTATTGTTGATTTGTTAGTGAGATGATAATGGAACACAGAAAAGAGGTTCTTCTGTCTTTTTCTTTTAGAGTACTGAATAGCATGCCCTAGACATGGTCCTACATGGCCTTATTGTATTTCTGGGAGTTCTGGCTTTATGCCCGATGAATGGGAAGGAAATAGTGGTAATTCAGTGTTTCTAGTACTTGTTTATTAGAGGGAAATGGGAAACAGAAAATTCTTTGCTTTTAGTGTGGTGGAAAAGATTTGGCCCACTGGGAGTATACACTCAGAAGGTTTTATGCAAAGGATATAATTGACTTCTTGTGTTACTTCTACCTAACATGGCTTATCAAGAAATTTTCCTGTGTTTTTATTTTATGAAGGTAATTCTCTACGTGAAGTTTTCGTCTCTTCAACGATTTCTTTTATTCCCTTTTTAATTTTTCCCAGCACTTGTGTAACTGTTTTCTCTGACATTGAGACCAACATCACTTGCTAGAACCAAATTATCATTAGTAGGCAAAATGTTAAGGAATTATCTCTGCTAAGTATTTGTTTTAAAAATAATTATAGCATTTCCTATAACTTGGAAGATAACTTTCTATTTTGAGGTTTTCTGAAAAATCTCAGATTTTTCTTACAGAGGATCAATGTATTTTTTTGTTTGTTTGTTGTTTTGTTTTTTGTACCAGGCATTGAACTCGGGACCTGGTGCTTTTGAGGCAAGCGGCAGCACTACTGAGCTAAATCACCAGCCCCAATCATTGTTATATTATGTTAATGTGATTTTATTTTATTTTTCACTTGTTTATGCTACTGTAGAAGGCATTGGCATGGTACCTAAAATTTATAAGCAAATTACTTAATATTTATTTTTTTACCTTTTTAGTGCCCTCTAGGCCTTTTCTTTTCTTTTTAGTTTTTGTTTTGTTTTGTTTTTTGAGACAGGGCCTTGCTGTGTAGTTCAGGCTGGCTTCAAACTCACTATGTAGCCCAGGCTGGCCTTGAACTCGAAGTGATCCTCCTGCCTCAGCCTCCCAACTGCTAGGATTGCAAGCATGTGCCACCACACCCAGCTGTCATTTTCTGTATGTGCTCCTTCTGTTGAAACATGCCTCAACACACACACACACACACACACACACACACACACAAACATAATTTAATGAAATTACAAGGTACTAATGAATGGTTGATTGAAGAGAAATAAATCATATTAACTGCGTTACAGTTCAGAAATCCCTTTTCCATCAGCCCACGTAAAGGCTCTGACCTTTTTGTCAGAGGGAGACACAGATTTGAGAGAAAATGAGGCAAACTGTGACTGAGGTCAGGGACCTTAGAACACTGCAGAGACAAGGACATTTGTAAGATC